TATTCCTGCGTCTTTTGTGATCTTACAAAGCTTCAAACGACGCGTCGACTATTAAATCAGTCGTCGACGATTTTGATAGTCGACGTAATCGTGACTAGTCGACTAATCGTGGCAGCCCTATTGCACACTTAAAGAAATATGCTGCTTAAAAGTGGAATGTGAAATAAACTCAGTCTTACGTCTGTGGATTGTGGACGAGTCACTCACAAGCACCTGCCTCATGTTTACCACCAAAACAAGTGCCATGGACATGGGTCCAGTCTTAATTTCATTGACCAATAATTTCTGTGATAGTTTTTGTCAGCCTTTTTTTTTTTTTTTTCTTTCTCTTAACAGAAGCAAGACAATGACTAAATAAAAATGAATGCACGAGTACAAAAACAGTGATGAACAAAAACAAGATGGAAGTGTTCTGGAGAGACTAGATCAAATCAGAGTTACAAATTAACAAATTAAATTGTTTAGAAAGGCGGGATGAGTTTGCTTCTGATTGGATCACTTTCAATCTTTTTGTGCAGTAAGATTAGAAGGGAAATTTGATCTATCCCAATAAACAGGGTGGCAGCCAGCTCCCATGCTCTCTTTCTCATAAAACTGCGAGAAAGAAGAGAAGAGTGGACATATGGACACATTTTGCTTTTGTTTTATTTCTCTTGATATCAATCTGTAAACGTGCCGAGTAACTCTTACCTATAAAATCACAACAAACTTTTACTCTTAAGTCAAGTGAATGAACTTTAGATTTATTCTGTCATAATCTTATGACATTTAGTCAGCTGAAGCTAAATGACAAGACTTTTGGTTTTTAGGGTTTTTACATTAGGTTGGAGTACTTGGTACCAGGTGGTTGTTTAGTACCTACTCAGCTGGGGTTCTGTGACGTTAACAGACTGCACGCCACCAATTGGCTAGTTAGTGGCGTCACTCAATGAGTCATGAGAGTGGCTTCATGAAAATCAAAACTTCAGTTTTTCAAACCCGAGTATATGAGAAATGTCCCCGAGTCTGAGAAAAAGCCATAAACTGAGAAGCAGGTATACTATAACCTTGACATCCACCATATTTTTATTTTTTATTTTTTATTTTTTTTGTGGTTTTTTGTTTTGTTTTGTTTTTCTATCCAAATGACGTCACATCTTTCAGCCACATTGCTGTAATGACCCCATTCACAATTGTATTAGGAAACAACTGAAACCAGGTTGGGCTGAGTAGGTACTATTAGAACTTTGGCAGTGGATCATTTTGAGTGCTGTGGGTTGCAGTTAACCCTGATTGGTTTGGGGTTGTTCTGGAAGATCCTGAACAGATGTTGATTGAATTTGGATTTTGGAGTTGACGATAATCAAAACTATTCACCTCAGCTGACAGTGATTTTAGTGTGTTACTAGTCCACATATCGTCACGTGTTACAAACGCAGCTACTGACACACTGATTTCAGTTTGAAGACTGATAAAATGAACCATTCAGCTGAAAAGAAAATGTCAAGAAATCACTTTCATCTGTGTTCACTCTGCTGAGCCAAAGTACTCCTCTCTTTGACTGGTTCTTGGGGTAAAACCTTGTCAATCTCTCTCCATCTCTCTTTTTATTTAAGCTGTGAAAAGAAGCAAAAATACGAGAAGAGAACCATTTGATGGAAGATAAGAAAAAGAAAAAACAAGACGAGAAGAAAAAGAAAGAGGCTGCTCAAAAAAAGGTAGGCTTGCAGAGTGTTTTTGAAACCCACATGCTTTTATCATGTTGCTGTAATTGTTCCTTCCTGTTCTTTATCATATGATAAGATACTGTAAACTCCAGCTAATTGCAGCAGTTACTGGCAGTCAGCTGGATTTTGGGTAGGGATTGGAGTGATTTTATAATTATTAATGTTTTATTTTGAACCAGTTTCCAGTTAACTTTGTGTTTAATGCAGGGACTCCTCTTTGTCTGTAGTCTCCATTACGAGGGCTCAAGCAACATTTGACCTGTTGTGCTGCTTGTTTTGGTTACACAGAAAATATTTTTTGTTAGTTCTAATTATAATTTTAGGATAAAATGCCTACATTTTATAGACTAAAGCAATCATAAATAATTACAGATTATTCTATGGTGAAAAGAACAAGCTTGTTGGCATTTGCAGTATTTTAGATGCTAGTATGCTATGTAGTACAAGGCCAGGCACAGCTCTACATTATAAGTGTTTTTGGTGTATAGAGCTCCTATGTCAGCACATTTATATATTCATATCCCCTAACCTTAAGTCCTCTTCTAGCGATCTGTTGTGCTTGTGCTTAAGCTTTTTTTTTTTTTTTTTGCTAGTGCTGGAAAAAGTACAAGCTACAGGCTAGTTTTCCCTCATTAACTTAATAAATAATACAGTTTACACTATTCAATTAAATAACACAGCAATAATCAGGTCCTCATCTGTCAGGTGGACTTAACTCCACCGTCTTGCAATGAGGCGAGTACCAGCAGTCAAACCACGGCAAACTAAATCTTGTTTGGAGCTCTTAAATGTGTCGAGCGTTAATCAATTTAGTGTTTAAATACACGAGCACTACCTGTCCCTTAGCATTGCCCCTGACTAGTTTGCTTCATTACTGTTGTGTGGATCATGAGCAAAAATGTTAAAAATTATTTCATGCAAAACCGCATACTGTTTTCTGGATCTTACATGGAATGCATTACATGTTTATCTTATCATTTTAAGTTTGATCTGTTGTTAACTTGTTTGTTTGTTTTTTCAGGCCACAGAGCAGATTACCAAAGGTGAGTTGTTCCTGCTTGTATTTTGTACAATTGATGCACAACATCAAAGAAAGACTCATTTGATTTCTTTACCACAGAATAAAAGGAGCGTCTGTTATGCATGTTTTAATACTGGAGTTGTCAGTGTAGACCTTTGCTGCGAGTCTGTGTGATATCTTGTGATAGCAGGAAGGACACTGACTGTGTGAGGGTGTTACATTGTTGTCAGAAGGGGAACCACACAGTATATGCAGTTCTGCCTTTTTGCCACTAGGCGTCAGTTGATTCTCAGCTCATTGCTATGCTGTTGATTATGAAGGATTTGCTTTTAAAGTTGAAAAATATATTGCAACTGAAAGCATTACTGGCCACCAGCTCTGCTGTACTACCTGAGCCTACTACCTACAACCTAATAAGAAGCATAAGAATGGTCCATCTCCTCTCAAAGCCTCCACATAGGGGTCCTCAGGCTTACCTCAGAGGGTAGAGGAGAGGAAGAAAATCTGAAGGAGAAAAAAAAACCCAACAAATAAACCATCTGAATAAAAATGCCTAGAAATGTAGTTTTGTAGTGAAGACTGCACTTAGCTTGCAGGTTTTAACTCCTGCTTTGTGGCAGCTACAGACCCACTCTCTTCACTGTCTCCCCAAGCCAGTGGTTTTAACAATCAGAGGGAAGCAGGTAGGATGTGGTGGACAGTCAGTTAGCCTGGCAGCAGATCTTCATGTCGGCATGAGCAAGCAGATGGGAGAGGGACTTAATGTGTCATGAGGGATAGGCAGCGGGAAATCTGATTAGAACTGCTCAAAGATGCTGACAGGATGGCCTGAAGGGTAGAAAGAGAATAGTTATTAGTGAGTGTTAGCACATATAACATGCCGTTTCTTTTCATAGTATTTGTTTGACACTTCAACTCTTTATCTTAACCCCTATTAAGTACCAGATCTAAAAATCACCATTTATAACAGGCTTTTCTATTATCACACTTGACTTTTTAGCACCTTTTACATATTCTGTTGCACTGTGCTCATGTTGATCATTTCTGAAGAAGATCACACAGATTATAGATTGTCTTTACCTCAATATTACTGTGGCAGTTAACGAGGCACTGCAGTTATTATCTATTAATGACTGGAAAAGATCGTGAAAAAGGGCTGAAACAGTTGTCTTTTTTTCTGAAAGACACCATGAATCTTAATTGACTAATCAACTAAAAGAGGCAGATTGTGTCTGATACTAGTGTAAGGTACAGTGGGAGCTAATTAGGAGAGCAGGGCTAGTGCGGAGGCTGAATAAACAGGCATTCATACACAGGAGATTTCCAGGAAGACCCCAAGCGCCATAGTAACACTACACCACCTCCTGTCTGGTCTAGCACTGAGGCCCGCCCTGGGACCAGAGAAGGAGGAAGGAGAGAAAAAGGTGGGCTGTAAGGAACAGAGATGGAAGAAATTGTTGTGGTTTTTATTTGTGTGAAATGTAGAGAGGTGGCTGGTGCCTCTGGTTGATTTGGGAGAGTGCAGGAAAACCATGTTTGAGAACACACAAAAACGGGCAGAGCTATGTGAAACTGTGAGAATGCACTCCCGTTTCCTGTTTGCCGGCACAGCTGAGGGGCCCCTTTGTAGGATATTTCTACTGGCTCATTTTTATGACACACACGCTCTCACTCTTACAGTCTCCTAATGTGACCTGCAAACACAAACAGCATATATATGCTCTGTGTCTGTGCAAATCCACCGTTACGCATATGGTTTTATATCACAGCTACTTTACGATGCCAGGTATTTTAGCATATCCACACCATTTCAGTATCTAATATCAGTCACAGAAATCACTATTTTTATACTTTCAAGAAGGCATCACATAGATATATAGAGAAAAGATATGAGAGAGAGATCTATATCTGTCTGTCTCTATATCTATCGCTCTATTTTACAGTATTTAAAGTCCTACTGTATGATTGATTAATTTTGCATAACCCCAGGGAACCAGCCTAAAACATACACGTGTAACATGTGTAGGATGTATCTACTGGCATGTGGCATTTTTTATTTATTTTTTTAAACTAAAGATTCTCAAACAGCTTTAATGGTGTGGGGAAGCCATGAAGCATGGCAGCAACGCTGTGATGTGAGTATCACAGAGACCTTTATCACAGTGTGTGCTGGGCCGCACTCATGGTGTCAGCGACGCACCCTAAAAAGAAAAATAATAGATGAGTCTATTAGTAATAAGCATTGTGCACATCCACCATCAACAAGCTACTCTAGAGTTCATTTCTAGGGGTTAATGAGCTATTGTGTGCCTATCCATGCTGTGCATTTTTGTCCCTATCAGAGACTGGGGACAACATGCATGCACATCAAGGCGCACATTTACATAGTGCAATAAAAGATAACATTATTACAAAGTAGTGTCGTGGCAGTAATTTCATAACAGATTAATTTGCCGTTTCACATTCGCTTAATTACGCCCAGCGCTTTGTGCTAGAGAGCCATAAATTGTGGTGCGATCAGGGGGGAAATTTATACCACTGCATGTCTTATCCCGAGCAGCACAGCTTAAATGAATGCAGTACTGGTAATGATAAGCTGCACTTTAAGGAACAACACAAGTAACAGCTGTGTTCAGCTGCATTTACACCATAAATTGTGCATATGAGCCTGTTGTCATTGCATATTGTCACTTGAGCCATTATATTTATGACAACTGACAGATGGGCTTGGGTTTTTGACATTACGGTACAATTTAATTAGCAACACTCAGATGTGAAAGGGTCTTTGATAAAACACTTGTGTGCTATATAATTCACGCGTGATCTTTTTTTGTGTATGTGTGTGTCTTTTCTTGAAATATACCCACACGCTGAGTTTAGCCTGTCAAAACGTGGATGTGGAATTAAAGGCCGGACTAGTTGGTTAGTGAGCTGCAATCTGAAGGGAAGCTTTATTGGAGAAGTTGCAAAGGTCAAGTCTGTGGCAAACAAAAATGTCTAGAATGTGTTTGACAAATTAAGCATTTTCAGCCCCTGAATGTGGCGAAACAGATACTTGTAACATAAGTGCCAAGTGGCATTTCTTTGTTGCAGTTTCAGTTTGACGCTGTTATGTGAGACTGAACCATTTTTCGGACTCAGCAGGGGCTGCCCAGGTCAGGAGGACAGGACGTTCCACTGTCTTTCACACTTCGGTTCCTGTAAATCATAACACTCTGGAATCTGGGCTGCCTGCAGCTGCTGGCACAAGAGCTGTTTTGTCTTCTGAGATCCCCCCTACTTCAACCTGTGGAGCTCTTCTGCAGGTGGAGAGTAGGTCTGGAGAGAAACACTTAAGAGCTGGAAGTGAATGTCGATCCTGAGATTATATATTCAGACCCATAGTTACCGTTTGATTAACGCTTTGACCATCACAACCTTGCGTTCTCTGCACTGTGCTGTCAGATAATAAATATTTTTTTAAAATCTTATTATTATTATTATTATTATTTTTTTTTTTTAAACAGCATTTTTCTCTGTGTGGAATGTAATGCAGTGACGGGTTTCCCTCTTAACTACCGTGTCGTATTTATTCACTTCTAATTAAACCCTTTAATCTTCTCTCTTGTGAGGCTCGCTGCTCACATTTTAAAGCCCACAGGAAAAATGAGACGGAGAGCCTCAAAGACATGCCGCCGTTCCTCCCTCACGATTCACTCTTTCTGCTACTATTTTCTAGAAATAGGCAGCATGTGTGTTTTCTTCTATTTCTGTTCCGTTAAAGTGGTGTGCTGTGACAGTTTGGAGGCAAATGATGCAAAGGCATCACAGGATTTCACTCTTATTCACAAGAAGGCCTGGCTGTTAGATTGAACACATGTAACATACTGGACAATAAGCAAACAGCAATCCTGTTTACAACAGCGAGATTTTCTTTAGCTAGTTTATAAAGCTCCATTCATGGCCTAACTTGTGGGATTAAAGGCTCAGTTATAGAAGGCTTGCATTTCAGTATGTACTCTGTCCAAGAGTGAGACGAACCACTTCAATGAAGGAACAGAGCAGTGAGAATGATTATTAGCATGCTATTATTGTACATATAGGGGAGGAGAATACTGATAGTATTTAATATATACTTGTAAATATTGTACAGGCTGCACAGTACTGTTAATATATTAATTATGTTTTTGAAAATTGATTTGCGACTCAGAGGAACATCATTTGAAAACATTCATTCATCACGTATTGTTGTTAGGACAGTTTTAAAACTAACTTACCTTGTGATGAGTACTTGCATTCGCTAGTCTTCAGTTCTTCTGCACATTGCTATCCAAGCACCTGCACAGAAGTATCCTTTGTCTGCAAGGTCAGACCTTTTTTTTTTTCCTTCCACTCAGAGAGATTGCCAATGCTTTTCACTCTCTTTCTCCTCCACCTTCTTCCAACTCTTTTAATATATCCCCAGACAATCCTAACCAGGCAGCCCACAACCTCTAGCTCTTAAACAGCCAGGCAAGCATACTATCATTGTTTCTGAGGAAATTAAGACCCCCTTTTAAAATAGAAAATGGGATGGCTTCCTCTGCATGAAGCACACACAGCCCCAAGGCCAAGGCTTGATGTGCATCTTTGATGAAGTGGGAATTCTCCTGTGCAGTGGCACAGCTGAGGACTCTGTTATTGCAAACAGGCTGTCAGCATGAGTCGGTCTCGTCTCTTCTTACTCTATTTCACTGTTTCGCTGCTAAGTACTGCCTGAGATACAAGCACTGTACACCACACCTGCCAGAAACATTTATTAAGCCCTGCCTTGATCAGTCTCTGAATTTTAATTGAGAATAAAAGGATATTTTTACATTAAATCATCAGTTTATCAGGATAACTGAATTTGGAGGACTTGTGTCGCTCATGCAATCTGAAGAAACCAAAGCAGCACCGGCAAATGGTGATCCAGTTGTAAGCGGATTTGGACCCAAGTTGATTTCAGGCAGTGAGTCTCGAGCTAACAGAGGAGTGCACGAGGGGGTGGAGACTTTCTTACACACACTACACTCTTCATCACTTATCCTCGCTCCCTGCCTCCTTCCCTTCCTCCCGAATGTCGATTCTCTCGTTCGCTCGCTCTCCCTCCCTCCCTCCCCTGTCCCTCCCCTGTCCCCTCCTTGTTTCTTCCCTCTGATTGGCTAAAAGGGCAGCCAGCTCTCCCCCCTCTTCAGCTTCCAGAAGAATCTACGTCACATCATGGAGTCCCAACTGTGTAATGCTCATGTTCATAACTACGATTGCACATTGTGGCATAACCTACAACAGTCTTCAGTTTTTTTTTAAGAGGAAATCACCTCTTAAACTCAGCGGGTAGAATTGGGCAGGAATTATCGTGTCCATCTGCCGCCTTTAATACAGTAATAATGACAAGAGGATAATGGTAGATCACTGGGAGTGAAGGAGAAAGGGAGAGGGGAGCACAGGAAGGTGGGGAGGGATAAAGAATGAAGAGGAAATGAAGCAGATGCAGAGAGATCTGATGAGAGGCGAGCTCCAACACTATAGCGTGTGTCGTCGTCGTCTCCCCCCCCCGCAACATTGCTGAGCTGCAGGGAGAGGGAGATACTCAGACAGATTTGGGTGAAACTGGATCATACTATGACTGACTGACTGACACACACACACACACACACACACACACACACACACACACAAACGTGCACAGAAAAATGTTGCCATTTGTGACGTGTGAGCGAACATGTCTGAGTATTTACAAGGCTGAGTGTGCTTCCACGACACCATCTCGCCCTCTCCCCTCTGTGTGGGCCTCAGCATTACATAACTCTTTGTTTTTGTGTGTGATGCCGGACTAGCCGCATGTGTGCAAGTTATTCACTGCTGCCTTGCACACACTCATTTTGTCAGCCAATCGCAAGGCCCCGCTCTTTATAATACAGTTAGGCTGCAGCACAAAGATTTTCTTTTTCTTCTGGCTGGTGGTTTTTAAAGACCCCCCCCTTCCCTCGCAGCAAGAGCTCAAATGCCATTGTGGCTCAGTGCACATTATGTCCAGTCAGCTGGTGTTTGGGGGTCTGCTCTTGTACAGTATGTGTAGCTCTTAAGCACTTTTTTTTTTTTTTTTTGCATCCTGTTTGCATTCTAGTTTACCAGCTTATTTTATTATGTAATAAAATGTGCTGAGGAGATTATCCAGTGCGCTTTGTGTCTCATGATCCATCTCATTCTGGAGCAGCTCCGTGACCCCAAGCTGACCAACATGTTTGATTTAGTGGTGGCTTCCGACCGCCTATTTCCAAATTCAGCGACTGTAAATTAGCATCCTGGGGGTGTTTTGGACTTCACGGCTCTGATGTTTGACAAGTGGATCTTGTCGGTTATAGCAGCCGTGTTTTTTATAGCAACAACTCTTATTTCAGTGTATACATTTTAGAGAGGTGTGATTAGGTAGTGATGAACAAACAAGGGATGCATCACCCATTATTAGCTTTACACCTTCACTTACCCCAAAAGTACTAAAACCTGCATGTGGTAAAAACACAGTTTTGGTCACTGTAGATAATTTCTCCCTTTATAAAATCTATAATGGGAATAAATATTTTAACTAATTTGTGTTTTATGAACGCTTAAAGATGAGAGCAAATCGCCTCTTTGACAGGCGTGACGATATCTGGAGCTGTAGTTGATTGTAGTCTTAGACCCTTTACCAGTAGTTCAAGTCACTTCTTGACCATGTTTGCAGTGCTGGGGGTTTTTGCAGCATTTTAATCAAATGATTTCACGGGTAACACGACTCTCTATAAGATGCAACCAATCCAGTGAGTTTGCACTCCAGTTTTGTGAAATTCTGGTAATTTGTTAGTCTGTTACTTCTCACTAATTGGCGAGCATCATATATGCGTTGCACCCATCCAGCATATGGATTAAGCTTGCTAGCCTTAACTTGGCCCTTCACTCTTCTGTCTCTTGGAAATGAAGATTGTGACAGCGTAAAACTAAACTGGAGGCTTCACAGTGGTTGCATTTTTTTTTTTTTTTAAATACATAGTAGATGCTCTCACGAATCCCCAATAAAACGTCTCAAGTACACATTAGCCTGGTAGCTGCATGCAACAGTTGACACCAAGATTGTAGATATGATGATGCATTTAAGCTGCAGAGAGGCTAGATATTTTCCTCTGGGGAGTAAGAGAGTGACTATTGGAGTTTAATTTTCTTTTGTAACACACCAGTTTTATAGTGATGATATACCAATGTTTTGTTCCCAACTTCTAATGTCCCTCAATTGAAAAAAAAAATAAAAATACGAATGCATGAATAAATGTTATTGGAGGTTTTTTAAATTATGTGCAGTTCTTAGGCTTCGCTGCTCATGTGAAACCCTGCAGGGCTTCGACCATGAGAAATGGCTGGTCAGAGCAGAGAGAGCCTCGCACTCTGTTGCTAAGGGTAACTAAAGCTAGTTGGATAAGAGCACTTTGCTTCAGCAGCCGTGCAAGCAGTTAATAACTAACGGCTTTTGTAGAGCGCTGAGAGGTGATCATTTCAGGGGCCATAACCTGCCACAAACCATGAACAGCTTATGTTGATGGTGCTCAGCGCTCTTTACAGCACCGTCCTGATGGAGACAATAGCCCACAATAATGTAGCAGGCAGGTCTAAGTCCATTTTCTGGTACTTGACCTCTTCAACACATATAATCTGTGAACCGGCACCATGACAGGCTGTGAGGGAGTTGGGTGTCTTGGCCATCTCTAAAGTCATCATTTTTTCTTTTATAGTGCCACCCCGAGGTTATTACAGTCCTGTGGTTCTCCAAAGAACAACCATCTGTTTGGACTGACCACTGCCTTGAGTAAATCTTGTGCATTTATAGATTTCTGCTCCTTTAGCCTTTCTGAATTTAACTTCATAGAAATCTTCCAAAAGTATCCAGGGCTTTGAAAAGAGTCAGTGAAGGAAATGCTTAACCACAGTAGCTTTACAGAAAACATTTAAAATGAATTACTGACAGTAATTTATAGAGGAAGAGGGCAGTATTCAGCAGTTCCTTTTAGTTTTCTTTAAATGTGTTATGTGTCAGATATAAGTCATATAAACGGTCTCTAGCGAGTGATTTTATTTATTTATTTGGAATATGGACCAGTCCATTTGCAACTAATCATATAGTATTTTAGTACTAGTGTGTGCTCAACAGCTCTGCTTTACCCTTCCTCATCCCTGCATTTCTGTTTTCTTGTTGTTACTTATCCCCACCCATTTCATCAGTGCCAGACTCTACCAAGCTCAACCCCAGCCCTCCTCTTCCCCCCGTCAACCCCAGTGCCATCCCATCTGTACCCCCAAGCAGTGGAAATGGCAAGCGCATCCCCTCCGGAGGTCAGCCGCAGACAGCACAGCAGTCCCAGACTCCGCTCCAGCAGCGCTACCCGCCCAGAGAGGTGCCCCCACGCTTTCGTCAGCAGGAGCACAAGCAGCTGTTAAAGCGGGGCCAGCCTCTTCCCTTGGGGACGCTGCCTCTCATCACCACGGGACGTCCCACCACTAGTGAACCTGCAGCAGCAACAGTAGCCATACACTCCTCTCTTTCCTGCTCCTCTTCCACTGCAGCCAGCTTGCCCACAGGTCTGTTGGTTTGAATAAGTACATTTAATGTTTTCTAAAAAAAATCTTGTGATGTTTAATTACATAAATCGTAAGAGGTTATTTGGAATTACTTGTTTTACTGATGATATATTCAGCTTATCCACATGAAGTGGATATAAATTGAGAATGAGGAGTGAAATTCAGTGGAGTTACATTATGTTATACATATAGATGATGCACTTCCTATAATATTGTTTGACCTGCTTGTGATGGGATAAAAATGATACGCTGCTTTTATAATGTGTTGTGGGAGCAGCAATGCTTCTTCATTTTAGCACATTGCTAGGTGGTTGCCAGGTAACCTGATGGCATCATAACATGTCATATATAATACATGTTTTGTGGATACAAATTAGATATCGTGAAATAAAATTGGATGATGCTTTTTATAGGTGCACAAATGTTAAAAACAGTTGATTTTAGCCCTGTTGCTAGGTTGTTGCTTGGCAACATGACATGGTCACAAGACTTGATATAGTTAAAAACCTTCAGGGACCTAAAATGTACCTGTGTGTCCCCTCATCCTGGTCTTGTAAGAGGAGTAAATGGACAAGGAAACAAACACACATACAGATTGTGTATTATAGTAAGATGCTACACATTTTAATCAGGCTTCTGCATGGACAACACTTTCTTGCTCTCACTGTCTGCATCACTAAAATTTAATCAAACAAGACAAAATAAAGTTGACGTTACTTAATACAATTAGAGAGTGCAGGTACTCATTGCTGCAGGATGTAAACTCTTGGTTCAGTCTGTACTCGAGCAAATTTGAGTGTATCCCATCAGTCACTGTCAAGTCTGCAGTTTTAGTTGCAACATGTAGAACACTACTCCAATAATAACTTTGGCTGGCTACAGCTACTTAGTCAAAAAGTATGTCATGCCAGAACAACAACAGTGTTGGTTCTTCAAAGATCTCTACTAATATCTGTTTGACTTATCTCAGCTGTGCCAAAGAGTTCTGGCATTCTTAAAAAGCAATGGCTGTATCCACTCCTGTTTTTGTAAGGCACTGTGCTTGTAATCATGCAGTGTACCTGCAAGGCTGTGCAAATGCACAGGTGCCGCTGGCTATTGTTTATTTTCATTCAGCCTGTCTGGGAATTAGGGATGTGGATGTAGGAATACTGGGGTAAAGGATGGCGAGTAAACACAGCTGGCTATCTTTGTGTGTCTGTGTACTCTCCTTCCTGTGGTTTTATGTTTGGCAGTAAATCAGGTTCTTATGTGTTTTTAAGTGGCGGCAGGGAACGGTTATTTCCTAAAAAGGTGCTCTTTGGTGACACTTTAGGGGCACTGGACACTTTTCAATGCCTGAGGAGCAGCACAAACTTTCTCATAAATGTGTCGTCTGCTGTTTGAGTGCAGCCTTATCTCCATGGTGATAAGATGTTTATCCTGTCCACGTCTCTGTCTCCGCCTCCACCTCCACCACCTCCTCCATTATCATCTTCCTCCTACTCTTTCTTGAGCTTTCCTGACCATCCCTTCAGTATTTCCTGCTTTTGTAGGCGGAGCAACACTGCACTAGCTAGCAAGCTAGCTGGCTGCCTCAGTGGGCCTGACCTGGCATAGATAGAAAGACCGAGTGAGAAGGAATAAAAGAAAGAAGGAGAGAACTAGCATGGCAGGCATCCAGTTCTGTGGGCTGAAGTGACTCATGGCTTACGGTAAAAGCTGCTGTTTCTCCCCGCCCCTCTCTGGCAGGCTGGTTCGGCTCTGCTTTTGCTCTCTCTGCGTCTTTAAACGGACTGATTACATTATGACAGACAGAACGACCTCACAACACTAAAGGCAGCTCAAATGGACAGTTTTGCACAAGCATGACTCTGCGCCATCTCCCCTTGTGATTCGTCATATGTCTCTTTAGTTAACTTCAGTCGAGTTTCACTGAGTTCCCTTTTGCTCTTCTAGTTTTATCATGTTTCCATCTCATTTTACACTGTATTTCATTACCTGCCCACATGAGGCCTTTTGACGAGCAGTAAAGGTAATTCTGTGTGCACCACTGTGTATACATGCGAATGTATGTTAACGTAAACAGTCATAACTTGAATGTCCCTGCTCAACTTGACTCATAACAGTAAACAGCTGGTGTGTTTAATAGTCCAGGCTCAGGGCAAGAGTTAAGATTGTATGTCATAAAGATTATTAGCTATTCTCTGGATTAAACGGCTGTCTCTATCAGGGATATGTGAGGATATTACATAGGGAAATCCTGGCCTCCCTTTGACTTGACTTGTTTAGGTGAACTGTTATGACTGCATGGTTGAAAGTGCTAAAATTTATAGCTACCCCCTTTTTGTATTTGTGTAATGCTCTGTGGGAAAAGCCCTTAAAACATGATCAGGTTTTTTATGCCCATAAGCTGCATTAAGACAAAAATGGCATAACATTGTGGTATGAGCCGTCTTTGTCAAGTGAAAGGACAGTGCAGCTAATGTGCTAATGGCTTGTCTGGTGTAGCAGAGAGAGAGTGAGTACATGCTTGCTAGACTTGATGTGCTCTTTAAGTCTGCTGATGATGCTGTAAAAGAGCCTTGGGAATCCCCTCAAAGAGGACTGGGACATCTTGTGATGTGATTAAACATCAGCTCTCGCTGATTTTTTTTTAAAATTTTATTTTCTTCTATCTTGTCTTTCTTACACTGTGTCCCTGCTCTTCTGACTTTGTCTGGTGTGCTGGTTGTTCTTTTCCTCAACCTCTGCCACGCCAAAACACATGCTCACACATACTGTAAGTAAAGAATGTAAAGTATCCGTGATTAGTCAGGCTCCACATACTATATTATATGTGTAACTGTGAGTCTTCCCATTATTATCACTCTCTCCCTGATGTTGCTGTTTTGTTTTTTTTGCTTTGCAACAATTCATATCCCGAGGCCCTTTCATGTAGAGAAGGCATGACACCAAGCTATTTTAAGACTGGCATGTTGAAGAAAGACCTTGACCTGGTTTATCCTTTAGAGAGGGAGGAGAAAGAGGATACTGACAGCCAAACATGATGGCCAGATGTCTTTGCTGTGTACTTTTTAAAAGGCACAGATTGTCCTTCTGCCATTCTTTTCCCCTTGAGATAATGTTGAGATTATTGGCAAAGCAGTTGCAAAGAAAGCATCCATTAAATCAGGTTTTGCATATGTATATACGCACAGCTCCTGTCCTTATCTCACCCTTGTTTGTCAGAGAATTTAGCAAGCTATCTGTGCCACTTTGGCTTTGTTGCTACTGCTGCGCTGCAAATATCTATTGAGGAGTGTTATATTTGCCTTCAACAAATCTGCTGGTTATGCCTGTGGTTGATGACAGCTGGCATTGTGTCCTGTTCCACTTTGCCTTGTCAGGATATCCGGGTCACTGTTGCCATACAGTTTAACCCTGCCTCGACTCTAAATCTTAAATCTGTAACACTAAAACTTGCCATTATTGCAGAATATCCCAAACACAGCATGCAGTGACTAAATAGCTTTGTCTTGCATCTTGTTGTGGTGTGGGTGTGCAAAAGGGCCATTTTCTGCGTGCTATCAACTGGAATTGTAATGCTTATAACAAAAATGTGTCACATTAGTGGCTACCAACCCTATTAATAGCGTTTTTGATTAACCATCATCTCTAGCTGATATGTAATTTTTAAAAAATCATTACAATTCTCTAACAATTTGTGCAAAACTGCAAACACATTTACACATTTTTCTGTCTCATGGGGGGAAAAAAAAACATCAAATCAGCTCATGTGAGCCGAGCTGAAAAGTGCCTAAAAGTATTTGTAGAGCAAAGATGCTCCATAATATCAGCAATGAAATGTTGGATACAACTTGCCCCAGTTAAGGTCAGTAAGTGGGTTGCATTGTATTAAAAATTAAACTAGTTAATTCAACTTCCCAACAGTTTCTACATCACAAATTCGCCGAATTTGAGTCCCTCTTGTGTTATTTTTGTTGCTTTGTGCAGAAGTAGAACAGGAAATATCAAAGTAGGAAAGACATTTTTTTTTTTTTTAGTTGTCTTGTTTTGCAGTACTGAGACGTGGGCAGGTAATAGTATAGCATGACGCAGAACAATTGTTTTTGCAATGTTTCTGCATCAAACCCATTCTATCAATAAGTTTGATAAAACGAACCCCTGCTGCCGCTGCTGTAATGTTTTGCACTGATTACAATGCATCAAATCAAACGCAGTGTGGCGTTTGAGACCATCATAGGCAGAGGTAGCAGATTCCTGGGAGGTGCACGTTTGTGTGTTTATCAGAGAGTTCATTCATCTGGCTGGCAGCATGCATTGTCAGCTCTGTACCATCCAGTCTCTGTGCCCCTCAGGGACTTCATTAAGCCAGGATCAGTACAGCTGAGGCCCACATAGCCCTCCTAGATTATTTCCTCCTCCTATCTCTCAACATCCATCTTTGTCCTTCATTTTCTGACTTCTTTCTTTTATGTTTTCGTTCCTCTGGATCCCTCCCTTGTTCTACCCTCATCTCCATTTCCTCCACAAGTACACCCTCTGAGAATACATTGGCCGTGAAAGTATTCAGATTTCTATTACCAAACGTCCGTCAAGTTCATAGGAGTACTTTACAGAAAATAGAAGGCATAGTTGAGCAAATTGTGCATGCCGTACATTTCTTGGGAAGGTGAAAAGGGAAACGTTAAAGCATTGTTTGCACAAAGAAGGCCACTTCAGCAAGGAAACTCGAGCTTCCCTCGCCTCTAGTCAGGTGTGTTGTACAAATGTTAAAGTGAAGGACAGAGAACAGAAGGCACACAGGCAGTCCAGTACCAGATCAGACCGCATCATTTTACAATCAAGAAAAATGAGCATTCAGCAAAATGACCCAAAGTGTGTTAACCGCTTTTTGAAAGAGAATTTTTAAAGCAAACAATCCTCCACCAGCTTTTGACCTGAATCACACAGACCACCTAGCTTTCCAAGCTAAAGGATCACAAACTAAATACTTGAACATTTCAAATTTTAGTGATCCCACCACTGGATATCCGAATGCTTTAGCTTTCTTTTAAACTGTAGCTTTTGCTTTTACAGTTTGCTGCACGATAAAGTAATAGATATACAACGAAGCATCCGAGTTGTTGTCAGGAAGCTGTTTGTTTTTTCCTCTACTTGGATGCACCATCTGTACTTTGTGTAAGTTAGCACACAAAGCGAGCGAGTGGCCATGACCTCACCGTGCATTAGGACCTCACAGCCGAAGGGGGGCTGAACTTCAGCCATAAAGGGACTCTGTTCTCCACTAAACATTGACTTATTGTCTTGTTGTGTGGGTGCTGGGATCATTTGTAAACAATAGCAGCCTTGATCTAGGGAGCTGCTGCTCCCTGCTCTTCCTATCCTCTTCCCTCTCTGCCTTCTATCTCATGGGTATCTTCCTCTGTTGTCTCTGTGCGCGTCACTCCAGCACCATGTTTTGAACCAGACTAAATCACACACAAATTAGCAGATCCCTTCAACCTTGCTTATTTCATGTGTCCAGAAACCATCTCCCCAAAGTGACAGCTCTGTTTTTGATTACTGCATTTCCGACTTGCAGCCATAAATTTTGACAAAAATCGACATTTGTCATCCTGTGCATTCTTATCCTGTGTCTGTTCATGTGTGAGGAAAATTGCCATTCCAGCTCTGAAGGGCTTCTCTCGCTCTCTTTCGCCTGCTGCCGCTATTCAAGAGGCTTTCCGTCGTGGGCGGCAGCACTAATTGCAGACGGAGCTAAATGTTTAGTGACAGTTTTGAAAGGTTGAAAGATGTGAGGGCATGGGCGGGAGAGAAGAGCCCTGCTTTTTTGTTTTACATCATGGCTTGAGAGTGAATAATAAAAGTCTCCCCTCTGTTTCTCTCACTCTCATCCCCTCCCCCTCCCCGCTGAGTCGGCCGCGTCTCGGTGCTTTTCCAGAGAGGGAGAATATCCTCCATCAGGATAGGAATAGAGCGCGATATAAATAAAGCCGGAGAGAAGCAATAGATAGGAGAGGAAAGACCCAGTCAGAGCAGGGTTAGTGGGAGGGGCCGAGCAAGAGGGGTGAGGAAGGAAGGGAGGTGGTGGAGGAGGATGGGGGGGGGGGGGGTTGTCTCATGCCGTGCAAGAGCTGTGCAACTTCTTGGCAGCATTTCAGATATGAGCCTCAGAAGCTTGGCGAGCCGAGCAGACATATTGAGACAAGGATGGTCGCTGCGTTGCACACAACCTAGCTCTTTACAGGATGGTCGGGAGGCACCTCTCCACAGGTATTTCATTACTGTGTTGCACACTCTTCTACTTTCTTCTTGCTCTCTGTTTTTCCTCCCATCCCTGTGTTGTTTCGGCTGATTGCGTTTGCGCACTTTTAAATATTAAAGCGACAGTACACTGTCGAGCATGCAGTGTCGTGTTACGATGTTCTGTGTGTGTTATTGTGAGGAAAGCATGTGTGCTGTTGAAGCAGGAGCACTGGTTATCCAGACAGGAGATCAGAGCCTTTTTGGCTCTAGTTCAGGACTGAGAAAATGGCGGCCCTGCACTTCTCAGTCGAGTGACGCTACAGAACGACGGCGCTGTGTGTGTCAGAAATACATTGCCCTCTTTTTCTTTCTTTCTTTTTTTTTTTTTTTTTCTCCCCCTTGCTCTCTTCTGCACCCTCTCTCCCTTGTCTGTAGTTGCAAGCTTTAAAGTAAGCTTGAAAACATCTTGGTGCACGCATCCTATCACTTCCCTCCTGTTGTTGTGACAGTCGCCGTATTTGCATACAAACTATGCACGCATGTGAGGGCGCATGTAAACAACAGAGGCTTCAGTTTGAGATGTAGCAGAAATGAGCCAGTGAGGTGGCGCAAGGTTGATGATTGGAGTAGAGTTTATTGTTTCAGTGCTGAAAATCGCAGCCGGATTGCTTGATCCATTCTACTCGCTCTCGGAGAAATAAGATGAAGCATTTTTGCATGCAGTTGTATGGGTAGATGGATGTTTTCTGAGGTGTAAGTAAAAGATGTTGTCATTGATTGCATTCTGCAACATGGTTCCCAAGTATGGAATTCCTTTTTTGACTTTTTGGTATAAGGATGCTCCAATCCAGCTTTTTCCAGTTCCTATACTACACCATTACAATGGCTTTGGGTAACTGCCAATACTGAGTACAGGCCCTGTGACAACTTTGAGCTGTAATCCACAGTCTGATGGAAAGAATAATGTAAGATAACATCATTTAGCCTAATTGTTGCTTTATGAACTTTGTAAATTAAGATGCTGGAGTTTAATATATATATATATATATATATGTACTAAATTGGTATTTATTAGTGAAATAACTTGGGACACAGAAATGAATTAAAAAAATTTAATAGATAATAATTATTTGCACTAGGGTTATTTAAGTTGAGTGTGAGGATCACTACTGTTTACTGTTTTCCTTTACAATAACGCTAGCTTCTAATATAGCCCTGCTCACAACAGGAATGTGTTGAGTCACACACTTGTATCTCAGCTGGAGTAGAGCTCAAAAGAAACAGGAAATCTGAAATAACTGAGTTGACTTGTGTTACCATGAGTGAAACGAAGGCTTTAAAACAAGTGTTAAACCAAACACAAGAGACGCCGATGGGGAAGCATTTTTGTTTATTTAGCACCTTTGAATATAAATGTCACAACAAAATGAACATTAAAAAACAAAAACTTGCCCAAAAGTATGTTTTATTTAAAATTAACTCTGGAGTTAATGGGGAGCCAGTGCAGCTGAATTGATAGCTCCCTCATATTGTGTTATGCTGCCTTCCAGTTGTAGGATTTTTCCACTCAGAAAGTTGGAGAAGCCCCGCCAACCCCGACTTCAAAATCCAAGATGGTGGCAGTGCACGTCAACAGTAGTAAAACTGGGAATCTGTGCTATAAATGTTGTGTATTTGTGACTCGCTAAGCAAGCTGTACACAGAAAAACGACCAAGGTATTGTGTGTTATTGCTGGCGATGGATGAATGGTTCGACCTTGCTAAAGACCAAAATAAATCCTGCTATTTCTTGCTTTTACTACTGCTACCACAGCAGTGGCATCACTCCCAGCTTCAACTTCAGAGGTAAAATGAGCACAGCATTAATTCAGCCTGTGCTCTGTGTGCTGACAACTGTTGTAGTAAACAGAGAGGCCCCAACAATAAAGGAATATCACATATCAGATCTGTGCGTCACTAGTTGGAAAGGTTCAGTATCTATCTGTTATGACTTCTGTTTGCAGTGTGTGTTAAATTATTTCAGCAAAAATATTTTACATGCAAATGTTTTTAATTTGATTTATTTTTAACCTTGTTTGTTATAAATAACCTTAGAAACTGAAAACTTTATTATTGATGCTTGAGCTGTATACATGCACAGTAAAATAAAGAGCAAAGCTGTCAAAAAATTAAGACTATGTTATTTTTACCTGAAGGTATTACAAAAATAAATACATTTCAGTGCATTTGAAATACATGCAGAATTTGGTTTGTTATTGATTTGCTGATATGGGTCAGTCATTCACTGAAAAAGACATTCCCTAGATAGCAGCATATGTTGCTCTAAAGCCTGTGCACATATATGTCAGGATTAATGGTGCACAGGTGGAAACTTGCCATGTCCACTAAAGCACCTCTGCATCACGGTTCCTGGCTTTTGAATTGTGTGTTGATTGCAAGCTGGAATGTCCCTGTCCTCTTCCGTCTGGAGCATTCCACTTCCATTATTTCTCCCAGAAATTGCTCATTTTGATTGGTCAGACCACAGAACATTGTTCCACTTCTCCTCAGTCAATCTTAAATTACCTGAGGCCCATAGAATGAGGCAGTTTTGTTTTTTTTTAAATGGTAGCGTAGTTTTAACTTGCATTCATGAATGCAGTGATAATGTTGACAAGTATTCCTGAGCCTGAATCTTTTTATGACCTACAATACATAATAATAATCACAATGATGATAATAATAGTTATTATTATTATTATTATTATTATTATTATTATTATACGTAGAGCAGTTTGTTTGTTTTTTTTATGATAAAATATAAAATACTTCCTCTTGCAGTCTGTATGAACTTCTTCCCATCAGCCTCTCTGGAAACCTTTTTATCTAATCATGTTACCAATTAGCTTAAAAGGTTCCGAGATAGTATTCTAGCTTTGTACCACGTTTCCAATCTTTCTGTTGTTCCTTTCTTTAAATACTCATAACTTTTCAATCATTTTCAATTAGAAAAGCAATGTTATCACTGCCATTCTTTTTTTAAAGAATTGCACTAAACTAATTGAACATTTGAGGGAAAGACGAGAAAGAAAAATATAATATCATGTTTTACTACAAATTCTTTAAACGTACTGAATGCACGGCACCTTATTTTGATAAATGACATATTTTAAAGTGTTTGTTCCTTTAGAAATGTGTAGTATACAAATAAAGTACATAATTTTTATTCATTTACTAATTAAAGCCCCCTCTGTTATCATATTAGTAATTTTTCCTTTTATTTATTTATTTTTATGTGGGTGGTATGTATTTTCATTTATAAAGCATGGTGAAGACACATTGCATGTTGCCATGGTATTTCAATCTTACTAAGCAAATGTGGGTGTGATGACGTATGCAACTTAGTCTCTCTGCTGTCATCCTGTTGCTCCTGCTTATGGCTCATGATTTTTTTTGTGTGTGTGTCTATTTTCCTTGTGTGTGTCTTTCACACAGAACTGCCCCCACAGAGTGGCCAGGGAGCCCAGTATGATAATCCCCTCTGGGGGCACCTGCCAGCCAACAGAAGTGCTACGAGTGCTGCATCTTCCACCAATCTCAGTGGCTGGGATCAACTAATTATTGACCAGAAGGACACAGAGGCTTGGCCTTCTATTACACTCAGCCAGAGCCAGGTCCCTCCAGGAGGATGCCCTTTGGACACTGACTCTGGTCACCTGACCAGCAGCAGCAGAAGCAGTAGTACTAGCAGTAGTTGTAGTACAGTGAGTATGGCCACGGGAGCAAATAGCCAAACAGGCCACTTCCCTGCCAACCACCTCAGCAGCAAAGCCAACAGTGGGCCCAGCCCTGCCAATCATACTGGAACCAGCATGCTCTCTGGCCAGGTTGCAGCCAGTCGCAGCTGGGGCCCTGGGGCTGTATCTTCCCATTGCCCCCCTCAGTCCTCAATGGGGAGTGAAACGAAGAGTGACAGCCCAGGAGGAGGAGGCAGTACTAGGAGCTGGGGTCCTTCATCATCCTCCAGCACCAACTTTAACTTGAACCTAAACCCTAATGCCAACCCGTCTGCCTGGCCCATGTTGGGGCATGACGGAAGTGGCACAGGGGGAGGCAGCTCAGGGGGAGCCAACACCATTTCACCTCCTCACTCTACACCCAACCTCTGCAATCCACCTGGCCCCCCACCAGCCCAGACCAGCACCTGTACCGGAGCCAACACTAACAGCAACTCCTCGGGGATTGGCAATGCCTGGATTACCATGATGGCTTCTGATGCAGAGCCACACCCCTCCCCGTCCACGAATGTGTCTTTCAGTTCAGAACCTCAGAACCTTAAAACTGATGGACCAAATCACACTAATAAGCAGGAACCCCCCAGCCCCATCCGCAGTTTGCCTGGCTGGGGAAGTGCACCTGTAGGCTTGGGTTCCATGACCCAGCCACCGCCAGGAGGCTCACAGGTCAATGGTGAAGATGGTAATTCAGTATGGGGTAACAGTGGCAACTCAAAGGCAAGTTCATCTAAGGAGGCACCTGGCTGGGGCCATGAAGGAGATGGAACAGGGAACTCTGGAGGCTGGGGTGAACACCCTGAAGAGACCCAGGGAGGATGGGATACACCCAGCTCTCCCGCACAGGACTCTCAGTCCATCTCATGGAGCAGGGCTGTAAGCACAGCTGCGGCTAGTGAAGGAAGCAGTGACAGCATGGAAGGCCATCCCCAGCAAAAAGACCGGTCATCCAGAGAAAAATCAGCTCCTTTGATCCCTGCCCAGGATCTGGACCCCAGGGTGCTGTGCAACAGTGGCTGGGGACAGACTCCCGTTCGCCAGCACACTTCCTGGGACATGGACGATACCAAACGTAAGAGTGATGTAGGCACTGGATCATGGGGCTCTGGCTCAACCACTCCAGTCGATGCCCAGGGGCCCTCCAACACTAACACAGGCCCTAGCCAGATGACTGACTCTGGGAGCAAAAATGATGCACCTGGTTCTCAGGGCACTTCTAGTTGGGGTGGTAACATAGCAGCTACCAACCAGCCAAGCTCTGGTTGGGGAGAGCCACCCAGCAACATCAAGCCCCCAGGTGGCCCTGGTGGTTGGGGAAACCCTCCACCAGGAGGTCCAAGCACCAGTATACCCAAAAATGGTGGTCAGTCCTGGGGAGAGAAGCCAAGTGGGTGGGAAGATTCTCACATCAAGTCAGGATCCCAGAACTGGGGAGAACAGCCCAAAGCATCTCACACTTGGGCTAGCAGTGGAGTGAGCAATAACACAGCAGAGTGGGGGGACTCAGAAGAGAGTAAAAAGAGTCCCACTACTGCTTGGGAAGGAGAACCACGAGGCTGGGGAATGTCTTCTCAAGGACCTGGAGGTAATGGTGGCTGGGGAGAGTCACTTCCTCAGCGACCCAGTGGTCCCTCTCAAGGCTGGGGGGGCAAGCCTCAAGATGGGCCTAGTGGTAACAATGGAGGAGGGAGCATGGGGTCCTGGGGGGGATCGGGCTCAGTGAAACAAGGTCCAGGTAGGGGTGGAAATAAGCAGGAATCCTCAACAACTGAGCCTACAGGCTGGGAAGAGCCTTCCCCTCCTTCCATCCGACGCAAGATGGAGATCGATGACGGGACCTCTGCTTGGGGCGATCCCGGTACCTACAACAAGGCAGTCAATCTGTGGGACAGGAACAATTCAGGATCGTCCCAAGCTAAAGTTACTACTGGAGGCAATAATCCCCCCAGCACCAACAACAACCATCCCCACCCTCTCAATCACCCTTACCACGGGCCACCTGCACCTTTACAGAGCCACAGCCAAAACAGCCAGAACTCAGGCCCCACCAGCGGGCCTTTGGATCCTACTGTGCAACACCAGCCTGGAGCATCTCACAGCAGAGGTCCCCTGATGGCTCAAGGTAAGGTGATATAAACTATATATTATGCAGACTGTAACATGACTTGCTCAGATTTCCCTGTTTATGAATGCTAACAATGTATAGTTAATATACACAGTCAGCATTCAAATTTTGATTTCAATGAGTTTAATCTAGTTAATGGTAAACTATAATGCCTGCCTGGGTTTCCTAGTTTCTTCATCCTTGTTCACTGTTCAAAGCAAAAGGTGCTAAAAAGCTTGTTTGGTGGTTGGCTTTGTCCGCTACTAAGCTCCAAGCTGTTGATCCACTTAAAGGTAATATCTTAACCTAGTTTACTCTCTTTGGATTTGCCTCTAATCAACTATCTAAATCAGGTGGGTAGGGCCAGGCCTGTCCCTCAGTGACGCCCTCACACTTCACAACTCTCGGCTCGACTATGGGGGCAACCCTGGCAACCTCACATGGCAGAGGAAACACAAGAATGCTGTTTACAAAGGGCCTCGTGAAAATATTGATTCACCACAAACTGTTTGAGATAGATAGGAAGTGTGTGATTATATAGGAGCCACCATCTGTCAGTAGTTGAAGTGAGGAACAGGAGGAGGAGGAGCAAGACACTATGCACTGGGCAGAAGCCTCCTGCTGGCCCTCATTTGACTCTTCATGTTGAACCCTTTGGATCAATCCTGACAGCAGGCTGTTCACTGGCTGTTTAATATAGAGTTTTAGTGACTTACGATGGATAGAAACAAACTCTTCAGATGAGATTATATCTTGTTTAGATCAGTGCACCTCTTACCCAGTGACACAAGAGGGTTGAATGTTAACTATAATTTTGAAGCAGCCTTTGGGACTTGACCTTTCCTTGGGGAGAGAGCTAAACTGAGCTTGGCGCTGCTGCAGGCCTAGAGACAGCACTCTGTCTTTCTTGCCAAAAGGGACGGGACCATGCCAAATCTTAAATGGGCATCTCCTCCCTCCATCAACCTTCCTGCTAAGCCAAACCCAGGTTTCTGCCTCTCTGCATGGCTGGCATTTCACACTTCAAAGCAGAAGGCTAAATCAGTTTAGTGGTGTTAACCGGACTCAGTTATATTTAAGCCTCAGGTTATTAGGGATCAAATACTAAAATGTTTGGTTTTTCTATGTATATATGGACATTGAATATGGCCAAGACACAATCATACATCACTGTTAGATTTCCATCCCATTTTCTGTGTCTTGGGCATCTACCATGCACATTTAAACTTAGCTAGCAAAGTAAACCAGGCTGTGCTGTATGGTACAAAGAGCCCTTATTGTTGCTCTGTATGAAGGGCAAGAAATAATGATTTGGTCTCTTAACTGTCATTTAAACACACAATTTTGCAAACAGAAGTCGGTGTAATGAACAAATGGCGTATCGTAACAACAAAATCTTTGTAGTTTAGTTTGACACTGTGTGGTCACAATATTGAAAAAAACGCCGCATGATCTGATTGGTTTCTGAGTAGTACTGATTGTGTTTGTGTGTCCTCCAGGTTGGGGAGAGATATCCAGCTCCCACACAAAATCGGAGAGCTCCTGGGGGGAACCTGCATCTTCCCCGGTTAGCGTGGATAATGGGACGTCTGCCTGGGGCAAACCCAGCGGGAACTGTGGGGGCTGGGGGGAAAGCAATCCGGAGAGCTATGGCAGGGGCAACCCGACAATGACACCTGCATCTTGTAAACCTGGTAAATGGCTCAGTCTCGTCCAAGTGTGGATAGCTTTGGGATACAATCATACTGTATGTGTTGCTATACTGCTTAAAAACAGAAGTTTAAAAATTCTCTCCCGGTGAGTCAAGTCAAGGACATCAATATGGCACAAGGGAAGCAGGAGTACTTGGGTTTTGCACATAAATCTACACTGACCCCTAGTGGCTATATTATGTTTTTGACGCAGTCTCTATGTGAAACATAAAACCTTCACATTTACTAGATGTAAAACATCGTACAAACAAGTTTTTAATTGTGCATTATAAACATTACTAGCTTAAGAGACTCATGCATATTACCCAACCATCCCCAGTGCTTTTGAGCCAGGTTGTCAAGCGTGGTTCAAACATCCTACCCATATAGTTGAGATTAAGTTGGACCAGGCAATAGTAGATAATAGAATAGAATTTACCTGTTGCTCTTATTCATACTGCTTTTTTTAAATAATTAACTTCTTGTTATTTATGAAGACAATAACAATAGAATTAATAGTAGCTTTGTGCTCATGGTAACACATAACTTACATTCATGTTCTTAATGTTAACTTTTTTTTTTTACCACCAAAATGCCTCGTTCAGCTGACTAATGGTTACTTTTAGTGATTCAACTATGTTAATTTAACTAAGGCAAATTACTCTTTTGCTAAATGTTTTGACATATTGCTCATGTTTCCGTCTTGGCATATTTATATTTAAAAAGAAAAAAAAAAAGAAAAACTTGTTGCATGTGTGGCTTTGAGTGTTGTGAGCATTTACTCTTCAGAAATGAAACCACACTTTCGAGGGTGTATGAACAAGTCTGTTTGTGTATTTGATGCACAGTGCAGCCGTGGTTGTAAGAGACAGCTGCCCTCACACTCAGAGGCTCTAAAAGAGAGATAATGGGTATTAAAAACAGAACAGAACTCTGCTTTAATCAAGGTTTTTTTTTTTATTAATACTTTGGCCCAGTCATTGTTCTAATACTGGGTTTCAGTATCCATCCTGTTGATATGTGAGATATTGTAGTACTTTGAGCATGTTATTTTAAATAATGACAAACATCACAAATATGCCACATAAGGTACCTGTTTTGCCCTTATTATTTGTTGTTATGCGTTTTTGTGGTTGTTTCCAGCTCCCAAACCTATGCAAGATGGATGGGGAGGTGGAAGTGAAGACCTGAGCCTGTCAGGTGGTCAGTGGGATGCAGAGGAGGTAGACATGTGGAATAGCACTGCCTCCCAGGAGAGCAACTCTTCCTGTAACTCTTGGAGCAATGCAAATAAAAAGCCCCCACCAAAGGTGTGCAGCACAAATGCTTGGATAAAGAACACTTCTTTATGCTTTTATTTGACATCATAAGAAATCGGTTAATTGCACTGACATTGTCATTTTTGATCACATCTCCTACAGGGCAAGATCCCAGGGAAGCAGGATGAGGTCTGGATCATGAATCGTCTCATCAAGCAGCTGACTGACATGGGCTTCCCTGTGAGTGCTTAGTCTTTTCTTCAAATATAAATATATAAAATAAAAAAATTTCAATAGCCATTTTATAAACTTCTGATTAAAAGACTAGTAATTAATAATAATAAAGCTAATCATGAAATGCTTATAACAGCATAATTTTGATCCGAACATTTTGGGATTAATCTCTTTTCTGTTTTCAGAGGGATCCAGCAGAGGAGGCTTTGAAGAGCAACAACATGAACCTGGATCAGGCCATGAGTGCCCTGCTGGAAAAGAAGACGGAGCTTGACAAGCGTGGGATGGGGATAGCTGGCCACGACTACAACAACGGGCTCATCAACAAGCCCATGAGCTGCCCTCGGCCTCCGCTTCTTTCCAAAGACCCCTCAGCAGATCCCCGCCTGCCCTTCATGGATAAGGTGAGTCACTCCATTGTTAATCCATATTTAAATACGCTCTGCATGTGCAGTATTAAATTATGACAAGCAGAGTGTCTAAATGTTTCCTGGGATTTCTGCACGTTGTAGTACATCATACCTGAGCTGGTCTTATGATGCTTAAAAGCCACAAATGTAAATAGTCTCCATTAAAACAAGGTCACTTCAGTAGAGTAAATGCTAAAGAAAATGATCGACATGTCCTCTTTTCGGCAGGTGCAGAGTGGAATGTTTGGCGGTGGTGGAGCAGCACAAGTCCGGGCCATGCCGCAGCCGCCTCCTCAGCCACCAGTGCCGCCTCTCAGCTCCTCTCAGCCTAGTCTACGTGCTCAAGTGCCTCAGTTTCTCTCCCCTCAGGTACACTCATACACACAAACATATGAACTTATTTAACACTTCCTGTCTAAATATTAGGAGAGAACGAGTTTGTATGTATACAGTGGTGAATACTTCAGACTTGTACCATAACCTTTAAAAGCAGCCATGTGAGATTCTTACATTTATTATTTCAGTTCAAATGTCTCAGAGTCTAACACGAGAAAGGTGCAGATTATACATAAGGCAGATTCTCAGTTTTACGTCTTCATTTTGTTAAGTCGTTGCCTACTTATCTTTTTCTTCCACAGGTTCAAGCACAGCTCTTACAGTTTGCAGCAAAAAACATTGGTCTGAATCCTGCACTTTTAACCTCACCAATAAACCCTCAACATATGACCCTTCTAAATCAACTTTACCAGCTGCAACTGGTGAGTCTCATTTAGTTTTATCTGCTTTCAGTTTTGTTGGATACATCTGAGCATTTTAAATTCATCTTTAACCTCATACGTAACTAACAAGGACATGTGGTCATATTGTTTAATCTACATTTATTGTACGTGGCATTGAGAAACTTTTAATCCTGCTTATGCCTGCACAGGCGTACCAGCGTTTACAAATTCAGCAGCAGATGTTGCAGGCGCAGCGCAATGTTTCTGGCCCCATTCGACAACAAGAGCAGCAAGTAGGTTCACTTTTTAATTCTCCTACTGGATCTGTAAAACCTGCGCATCAAATCAAATCACTTTTATTGTCACATCACATGTGCAGGCACACTGGCACAGCACATGCGAGTGAAATTCTTGTGTGCGAGCCCCACAAGCAACAGAGATGTGCAAACACAACAACACAAACGAGCAAAATATTTTCGTGTGTGTGTGTGTGTGTACACATTTTTACAAATTAAATAGTAAAAAAATAATAATAATAAAATATATAAAATATACAGAGTTGAATATGTGCATTGAATATCCATCATGTTTATTTTTTTCCCTAGGTTGCACGTACAATCAATAACATGCAGCAGCAGATCCAACAGCACCAGCGTCAGCTGGCCCAGGCCCTGCTGATGAAGCAGCAGCAACAGCAACCGCCCCCTTCCCACTCAGGCCTGCATCCTGGTGGAGCCAAATCCTCCCTGGATTCATTTCCAGGTCATCCCCAGGCTCCAGGCCTCCCGGACCTGCAGACCAAAGAGCCGCAGTCATCTCCTAACACCTATAGCCCCTACTCTCTCTGTGAGTAGTATCAGCATTGCTCTTTGAATGTGGAAAAGTAGTCCTTGCAGGATTGTGAAGTAACATCTCCTTAATGTCCTCAGCTGGACTGAATGTAAACTGCATGGAGGTGGGAAGTCTGTCAATGAAGGAACCCCCCCAACCCCAATCGCGCCTGTCACAGTGGACACACCCAAACTCAATCGAAAGCCTCTCTGGAAACTCTTCTCCATTGGAGCCCAACCTGGGCAAGCATGGTGAGAAAGAAAACGGGGATCACTGTCATGATTATTTCACCTTTTGACACTGGAGACGAGTGTTCAATGTGTAAAATGCAGATCTGAAATGTGGACTGGAAGTTGTATATCCAAACAATATGTTTACGAGACCCAACGCCAGCTTGAAAATCCCTTTGTATTTGAGCGTGTTGAAAATACTGTTTCAGCAGTTTCTGCCAGTTATTTAAAAACTGTTAATGTATTTGGGTTTTAGATGTCTCATTGTTTCATTGTGCTTTTCTTAGGTGCCAACCTGGGCCCTCCTGGAAAGCCCACTCAGCTGGATGAATCTTACAGCCCCTACGGCCTGATATCCAGCTCAGAGTCTCCTTCCAGCCCTCTGGTGCCTCCAGACAGCTGGGGACAAAGCAAAGGCAGCAGTGACAAAATGGCCAATGGGACCAATATCAACTGGCCACCAGGTGAGCAGCGCTCACGTTCTCAGTTTGTCAGCTTTAAGTTTGTTATGTTGTCTGCCAAAAACTGCTTTGTCATATCTTCAGGACAAGCATTTGAATTCATGTGCAGAAAATGAGCATAATAGAAAAACCTTTACCTGTGAAACATGCCTGTTATAAGTTTCTTTGGTGTCCCGTAAGTAAGAAAATCATGCGCACGTGTTCCTTTTACTTTCAGAGTTTTGTCCTGGTGTACCGTGGAAGGGCCTCCAGAATATTGACCCTGAAACTGACCCCAACGTGACCCCCGGCAGCGTCCCCAGCGGACCCACCATCAACACAAATATCCAAGATGTCAACCGCTACCTGCTCCGGGACAGGAGCGGAGGTGAGAACAGGAGAAGTGAGTGAAGGCCGGACCACGTCGCCTCCAAATCAAGATGCTCAGTTTGAGTGTTTTGGTTCTGATGTTTAAAGTCAAATAAGTAAAGAGATGAATTGGAGATGATTTTAAAAAAGAAAGGTGTATGAATCAGCCGTGATCCGGTGTATTTCTGCCACCTGAGAGCCTGCTTCTTTTTCTTTCGTTCTTCATTTTCCTACTTTTTTAACTGCTGCTGTAATCATTGTCATGTTCTATATTCTTCTCTTCTTAAAGAACCTTACTGTCATCATTTGTTGTGTGTTTTTCTTTATGCCATTTTCTCTCTGCTGCGTTTTCCTTATTTGTTTTGTATCTATTTGTTTGTGTTGCTGGCGTCGGCTTAGGCTCCTCTCCCACCTCATCTCAGAACGAGGCTCTGCCTCCCTCCACTGATTGGCCAGTCAGTGGCTACACTAGCTCGTTCAGTCTTTCGTCCCCGGAGATGGAGGATGCAGGTACATGGTTTATCCACAACCACCCACCCACCCCCTCGCCACACTGCAGTGGCTAATTTCACTGCAAGTCAAGCATTTTCCTCTCCTTCCTGTTACTTTAACACCGAGAGCCTCAGCCATTCACTGGAGAGACACGTCTTCTTTTCCATACGAGTCACTGCCCCTGATTAAACGTGACCTTCATTTGAGCTCTATCCCTGTCAGTTTTGTGTATCATGCAGTGCATAATCCCCTCCCTGCGATGTTAGTGTATCTCCTTCCTCCTCTGTGTGCGGCATGGAGAGTACAGCTTGTCGTGTTTCCCGTTTTTACAGCGACTCTTAACTGGTCTGTTTGAATGAAGTAATTTTCCTTTTTTGTGTGTCTCTCAAACACATCTCATGCATACGCTAACACACTGTGGGGTTTTGTGCCTCCTGCGCCACACACAAATGTGCATGAAAGCCACCAAGTTCAGTTATTTTTGGTTTATATATAAAGTGTGTGCTTCACAGAAACAGAAGATAGATTTGTACCATGACACAAGATGAGATTATTTTGGAGTAAAATCCAGCGAAGGCTGTACTTTGTAATGCAGTCTTTACTTGCTTATTCATATTCACCTTTGGACAGTTTCTCAGAACTTTTCAGCGATTTCATCCTGCAGGACTCCTTCCTGCGGGAGCGGTTGTCTTTCGGACGAATGATTCTGTAGACCAACCTTTGCCATCTTCTTTTTCTTGTAGGTAAGCTGTCAGAGATGAAATCCACTTGGTCTCCAGGCCCCATTTCTCACAGCCAGGCCTCTCTGTCCCACGAGCTGTGGAAGGTCCCACAGGGCCCTCGGAGCAGCACCACAGCCCCTTCCCGCCCCCCGCCTGGCCTCACCAACACAAAGCCTTCCTCCACCTGGGGGGGCAGCTCTCTGGGTCTGGGACAAGGCTGGAGCAGCTCTTACACCACAGGTAGTGTTACAAAGAGGTTATTGTGTCTCCAATGTTTGTCACGTTCCTCTTCAAATGCTTCACGTGAATTTTGTCATGTCATTAATCCAAAAGACAGATATAACTGTTAAAATAACAAACCAACAAAGCTTCAAACTTTCGGAAGACAATGCACTTCTAATAGGAATTGTTTCCATGGGTGATTTGGAAGAAAACAGCATTCATGTGAAAATACTGGACATTTAAAAAATGAAAACAGTGGAATAATTAGAAATGAAACCGTATAGCAAAGAGGAAAAGTTCACATTCTGTGAGCCGTGCAGAGGTTAGTGTATTTAAAGTACTATGTGTGAGCGTGGTTGTCAGTATACTCTCATAGGAGGAGGCACTTTGATGTGGCCTACGACCGCAGGGCTGCTGTACAGGTAGAGCACAGGCAGGAATAACGCCTCGAGAAGATCTTGTTGTGGTTGAACGTTGAAATCAACTGACTCTGGTCAGCTTTTCTTTTTTCGTGGGTGAAGTTGACACCACCCATTGAGCTTAACTGACTTGATTCTGGTTTCACACAAGCTTGGGAAGTATGAACCACATGCCAACAGACTTCTTCCTTTCACTGCTGTCTCTTTCTCGTGCACAGCAGGTACCACATGGAGTACAGACAGCTCCACCAGAACAAGTAGCTGGCTCGTGCTGAGGAACCTCACTCCGCAGGTAAGAGGCTTGCTTCTCCACAGTTTTTGAAAATACGCCCCTTTGTAGCTAAAATTAAATGAGCTGGCTCACCATTGGCAGCTGTTTTTTCTTTTTCAGATTGATGGTTCGACTCTGCGAACACTGTGCATGCAACACGGCCCCCTCATCACATTCCACCTCAACCTGACACAGGGAAATGCTGTAGTGCGCTACAGCTCCAAGGACGAAGCTGCCAAGGCGCAAAAGTCCCTGCACATGTACGTGCATCAGCGCATTGGTTCAAAGTGTTTCACTCAGTTAATTTTAGGGCATTTAACCATGAATCATTTGTCTTTGTGCTTCAATCTCCACGCAGGTGCGTGCTCGGGAACACCACCATCCTGGCCGAGTTCGCCGGGGAAGAGGAAGTGAACCGCTTCTTTGCACAGGGCCAGTCACTCGGAGGAACAACCAGCTGGCAGGCCACTCCAGGCACCAATCAGACAAGGATGGGCGGGACCGGGTCTGGAGCGTCTCACCCCATCGGGCACTCGCCCCACTGGAACAACAACAACAACGGCGCCGGCAGCAACAGTAGCAGCGGCGGCCTGGGAGCAGGCGGAACAAAAACAGGCGGAGAGCTGCTGTGGGGTGGTGTTCAGCAGTATTCCAGCCTGTGGGGACCCCCGAGTGGAGAGGAGGGACGGGTCATGGGGAGCCCCACCCCAATCAATACACTGCTGCCTGGGGACCTGCTGAGCGGGGAGTCCATGTAGGATAGAAGAGTCTAGGCTTACAAAAACAAACACAAACAGGAGCAAAAACCTTGCAAATCAATGTGGAGATAATCAGCGTGGATGTAAAGGTGGAAAGGAGAGACGGAGGAGGACGAGGAAACACCTTGCTGCTCGCCCTCGTCAGCCTCGTCTCCTCCTGGGTTTTTACTGACATTTTTAGTTGCAGTTCTGTTGTGAATCCCAATAACGGATATTTTGATCACAGTGTTCAGCTTTTTCTTCACAGGAACGAGAACTTTATTTTATTTTTTCAGAAATGAACTTTTGAGAACTTTGCCGTGCGAGACGTACTTTTAGTCAAACTGACACAGTGACGAGCTGCCATCTTTAAACGAATCCCTCACTGCCTATTTGAGGCAATCATACTGCACCTCAGAGATCCATGGAAAACAAAAAGGCGTCATTCCCAAAGTTTAAAAAAACCCTTCAATCAGAGTGGTTGTTGAACTTTCAGCTGGTCCAGACTCGACATTTGTTTCTCTCAGCACTAATAATTAGCCTTAAACTATTTCCTGCCCTGCTATCCTCACTCACTCTGTACTTGGTGAAGAAGCATACGGACACCTGCACACCCTTATTTCTGAGCCAGTGAAACCTGAGTGGAGAGTACATGCTGCTGCGGCTTAACAACCGCTTAAGCAACCACAGCTCGCGACTTCAGTGCATTGTTTTGTTTAGTTTTGTTTGTTTGTTTAAAAGCAGATTGAGTTCCCCTCACAGCGCTCAAAGGGAATGATGCAACTCTGTTCGCCTTGTTCAAGCCATTTATTTTTGTAGTTTTATTTTTCATTTCTCTTCTTGAACCATTGCAAACAAAGCTAAGAAATGATATTATTCAAAATGTGTCTGTCAATCTTATGTGGTGGTGTCGAGGGACGGGGTGGGTGGGGTCGTCGCATGTACAGTTAAGATGGGCGACAACGATGAACCACTGCTATTACTATGGAACTGTAAAGATGAAACACTTCGATGCACCTCAACTCACTTGCGGGGAGACACCTCGCAGTTTGGTCTCAGTCTCTCAGACCCAGTCACTGATGCTGTGGAGGAGGAGAAAAAAAAACTTAAGTCGTTCCCTGCCTCTGCCTCGCCCCCTCTAACGTGCGCGCCCACTCCGCCTGCAAAGCAACCATTTCAAGCGACGTGCAATATTATAGCCACAGACTCTCACCGTCCAAGCACCCCTACTCGCGGGATTAATAGAGGAGACTGTAACGAATGAACTGCAAACACTTTATCTGTCTGCCCGCCAACTTCACCACCCACCCATCCACCCGCCTGTACCGGCCCTCATCTCCTCATTGCAAAACAAAAAACAAACAAACAAAAAAAACCCTGCCACTACAGCTTCCCTTTGTCTCCCCCAGCAGGGTGTCAGGAGAGTAGCACGCTGGCCTTCTGTCTAAACACAAGGACGCACACACCACCCGACTCTCCACGATTATGCTTGTGACTGATTTTTGGGGAGAAGGACAGGCAGGTGTGCGTGTGTGTGTGTGCGTGTGTGTGTGTGTGCGCGTGCGTGCATGCATGACGGGGTGATGGCGTCAAACCAAAACAAGAAGACCAGATGACTCCCCTTCCCTCCATTTTACCCACATTTGCATTTCAAGAAATGTCTGAATCAACGATTTGTGTGAGTTGGTGGTCTTATCACAGCACATAGCAAGAGCACGGCTACTCCTCATACCCTCAATGCCAACGAACAGAAGAAAGGAGAAGCAACACTGGCAAATAAAAATTGAAAAGACAACAAAAGCAATCTGCTTAGTGGCTTCTCTGTATACTTATTTTTGAACTTGACGTGGATGTGAATTTATTTTTATTTTTTCCCCAATTGTTTTTTTTTTTTTGTTTTTTGTTTTTTTTGGAGTCCTTCTTCCCTCGAGTCAGCGGGACCAGAAAGGATGTCAAACAGTAGCAAAGTGAAAGGAAACACAAAGAAGAACTAAGTCAAGCGATGATGGGTGGTGGCAGGAAAAGACCTCAGAGACCTCCACCCCTCTGCTATCAAAGTAGATATCACTGTTACATTGCAGCTTTTGAAATCTTTATCCTTGGTGTCTGGAAACACTCGACGTGTTCATGTTCTACTGGGTTCAGCAGGGAGGATCGCCCCCACCCCCGCTTTTGGATTGTTTTTGTTGTTGGAGGTCCTGCCAACCTGTGTGATAGTGTGGCCACTGAGTGCCTGCCTGCTGCAGAGTGCAGTGCTGCAGCAGCCCTCGCCCCCTCCCTCCATCTCCCACGCTCGCTCGCTGCCTCCCTGCGGACCCTTACAGACTAGCTTCCCTCCTCTTCCTTCTCCTTTTCCTCCCAAGAGCAGCTCCTTCAGAACTGGCCCGCCACCTTGTATTGAATCTACTACTCACTACTACTACTGCTACACCAGAGTCTGTCAGCAACCTCCACTTCCACTCTCTCCTGCAAGGATCACTTTATCCGGAGACGGAGTCGACTGATGTTTTGTTTTATTGTATTTTCCCCTTCTTCTTTTTTTCTTTTTTTTTTTTTATTGGAGTTGCTGGTGTGCATTTTAATTTTGTTTTGTTGTGAGGAGTTTGCTGATATTGTTGCTGTTATCATGAACGATTGTTATATTTGATGATTTCATGGTTTTTATGCAGTGTTCATCTTCTTTCCTGTCCCTCCCACCGCCGCTGCCTCCAAGGCAGAACCAGCGTGTAGTTTAGAGGTACGCCTCAGCCGCGTGAATCACTGAGGGAGGGAGGGAGGGAGGGAGGGAGGGGGTTCAGAATTGAGGAGTCAAATCAGGATGAGAAGGAGGGGGGAGGGGGGTGTAGTTTAAGGTTCTCCAGGATGACAAGCCAACTTCTTCTGTCCATCCTGGGGTGACCGAGCGTCCACTGCGCTGTGTCGTAACACACCCATCGTTTTTAGTGTTGATGGGCCTCGCTCACGCTGGTGCTTTAACTCTGGGAGCACCCAGTTATCACTTAGAACCACCTCAACTTGATGACAGCCTTCCATTTCTATGCAAAGACAAGGAGGTGTTCGCTCACAGCCATCCCCTTCATCCGCCAATTTTCCACTTAACCCTTTCAACCTTTATTACCGGGCAGCTTCTCTTGAAACCTCACCTGGATTCAAATGTAGGGGACACTGATGGAGCCTCTCTTCAGAATAGGAAAAAAAATAAAGGGTGGGGGCGGGGCGTGTAGTGGACAGAGCTGTTAGATGACACTAAATGACCTGCTGGAGGCACCAAGTTGAGTTTTTGTGCCAACAGATTTCTAAAAGTCTACTTCCACTTTTGGCCACATCCTGATTTATCCTTAGCAACAATGAGTGTATGTTATCGCTGCAGGGCTGTGGGAGCTGTGGGAGGCTTAAGGCCAGATGAGTGGAGCTGGTCACTCACCAGTAGGAGGAGGAGGAGGGAGCGTCCCTGTATGTGTCTGTGCACTGTTTATGGGTCACATCGGGTACATCTCTTTAAAAACCAAAAACATTATCTTTCTTTCTCTTTTTTTCCTTTATCATCAAGGTTTTTGCAAAAACTAGAAACTACAAAAAAAACCACAGTCTGTTTCAGCTGTGCACTCTGAGGCCGAGACGCCTGATTTCTGTTTCTCTGCAAGCTGCCGCCTTCTCACCCTCTCTGGGCTCGTTTCTCCGAGCCACGCCTGGGAGAAGCTGTATCCTGGAGGTTCACTCTGGACCTCCAAACCTGAAGGTTGTGCCAGCCAGTATACACGCATATATATGAATATATATAGAAAACAGGTCATGTCTGCACATTTGACTTTGGGGGTCCAAGCGGGGATCTGACGTATCAGCAGAAACAAGAGACGCACCTCAAGTTCGGTACCAAGTCTTAAAACTCTTTGCGGGGTGGTTTTTGACCCTCTTCCAGAGTCACTTTAGACTCGCATCATTCAACGAAACAATCACTATTGCCTGTGCTGTCTGTTTTTGTGCGATTGTTCCTGAAAAACCTGCATTTTGCTCCACACTGGACTTGAATCAACGGGAGGAGGGGGAAGTTGAACCGAGTGGGAGGGATGGGTGACCAGGACCGAGTCTCAGACGTGCCCTGGGATTTCACCAGCACTGAGAAGCCCCACCCTCTCCCACGCCTTCGTCTGCACTCTTATCTACCTGTCTAGTGTTGGAAATCACATCCTCCCCTCCCCCCTCTGATTTTTTACGATTTATTATTGTTATTTTAAGTCACACGGACTCAAAGGCAACTGGAGCTCGAGTAAAATCTACTCAGTCGTGGATCAGTCGAGGATCTGGGGGCAAAAAGAGCTGAATTAGCAAATCTCTAAAAACAAAGGTCTGGGTTGAATATGCACATGCTAGCTCATACACAGGATACAACCAAGCGTACATTTGTGGGTGTATGTGTGTCTATGGCTAGATTTCTGTTTTCCACTTAAGCCTAACGCCCCACCCACCCACACCCTTACCCTTACCTCCCCGCCCTCTGCCCTGGCATCAGCTCCTTACCCTCTGTATCCAACATCAATGTTTCCCAGAAGACAAGATCATAAACATATCAGAGTAATACAAAATAATGAAAACAAATACTTGAATCAAAAGAAGCGCCAATAATGTAATGTGAACACTTTTTTTTTTTTGTAGTGTTTTTCTTTTTCTTGTCTCATTCATTCACTTTGGAGTTTTATTTTATTTTATTTTTAAGCATCAGTTCAGAGTGAAAAAAAAAACAAAGATCGGTTTTAAAAAGTTTTTTTTTTTTAAAGGCAAATTTACATCAGTCGTATTTGAGTGTTTGCACAAGGCCGCTTGTACTGTACGTTGTGAATGAATGTCTGCGAGGTGAAACGATGCGTGAGAGCTCGTGATTACAGCGGAGGGATCTCTGCCTCACGTTTCTCTTCAGTTCAGTATCATTTTTGTTGTTGTTTTCTTTTTGCTTGTCAAATACTATATTCTGATGTTAATTGTTACTAGCCTCTAGCGTTGCACTGAGTGTCAGCCTCACCCCTCATCCAGCTATATGAACAACATGATACAAGTACTGAGGGGAGGGGGGAAGAGGTATCTGGGGGGACAGTTCATGTGTAAATGTTTACTCAAGGACTAAAAATAAGTGTGTTTTTAAAAAGAAAATGTAATGTTTATCTACCTTAGTGGCTTTCATTGTGGAATAATCCAAGAAAGTATGGATCATAATTGAGTATTGCACCATTTTTCAGACTATAAACTTAAAAAAAAATCGAAAAAAAAATCATATATGTATAAAAAAAAATGCAGCAAAAAAAAAAAAGAAGTATTTTGCAGACCTGTGGCCATAGATTGGGGTAGAAGGACTTCAGCTCTCCCAAATCTGAGCAACGGAGGGTGAAGGACATGACATCAGACCGAGCCTTGGCTTCTAGGGCTCATTCAGAGGTGCCTACCTTTTTATTTTTATTTTATTTTTCGGGGTTTGTTAGCTTTCGTTCGGTTTTCTCTTAGTTCACTCATCTGTTCTTCTGCAAGGCCACTGACAGTTTACAGTTTTTATTCTGGAGTTCAGAAACAAATCAGCAAAACAAAGGAATGAAACCATGTGGGCAAACTTAAAAAAAAAAAAAAAAAATTTAAAAAAAAAAAAGGACAAATGCTTCCATTTTTAAGAAAAAGTGCAACACTTCACAGAATGAAGATTTTATTGTGCTACTTTCAGAACTCTGGGATTGAACAGTGTTGTCTTGTTATGTTTAACCTTCTTTATTCTGTGTTAATGTTGTTCATGGACTATCTGAAGCCTGTTTTATGTTGATTATATATATTTTTTTCCTTTATATAAAAAAACAGAAAAGAAGACAAAAAAAGACATAATTGCTCACTATCTTGCACACACACGAAAAAGTGGATCTTGTCTCAGGAAGGCCAGGGTTCCAGAGTACCAACTCCACGCCATTTTAATGTACATTTTTATGAGTTTAAAGAAAAAAACAAAAAAAAAAACAAAAACAAAGGATGACTTAAAAGAAACAATTCTAAGCACTGAAAGTTATGGATTTCAGAAGAAGAGAGAATACCTTTTGTTTCTAAATCCGTAGCAGTTACATAATAACCAAATAATGGACTTTAAAATAAAAATGGAGTGCTTTATATATATAAATCTATATATTAAAATTGCTTTACATGGAAAAAACAAAAACAAAAATGGTCTGAGTTTGTTTAAGAAAAAAAAAAAAGATGGTGAATAACATGCAAAATGCTGTATGTTTGAATCTTTATTGTGTTTTCTTAATGAGGTCCCGTCCTGACTGATTCAGGAAACATTGTGCATTAATCTCTTTCTCTCTCTCTCTCTCTCTCTCTGTGTCTCTCTCTCTCTCGCTCTCATTCTCCCACAGCGGGTATTAATATTAATAATAGATGAATTTTGTTTTCTTTCTTTTTGTGGAGCATTTTTCACAGCTTGGAGGATGTTTGTAAAACGTGAGCTGGTTGTAAAAGGATCATGAAACTATGCACAAGTGTTTGGGGTGGGGGTGGGAGGGGTGAAGGTGGGGATTTTATGGCCTACTTGCTGTAGGTGGCTGATCTATTGCAGGGGTTTTGGGGATCCAATGTGTTTTTATTTGTTTGAGGAGTTTTGTTTTTTTTCTTTGATAAAGAGGGCAGAGAGGGGTTGGAGACCTCCATCTCCAGCTTCCTCCCCCCACCCTCTGATTCAGATTGGCCTAGCGCTACATCACCATGCTGTGTATTCCTAAAAACCAATGAGCGTCTCACTCTTTAGCACTGTGGGATTCTAGCCTGTCACCCTCCAAGGGTTTTTTTTGTTGTTGTTTTTGTTTGTTTTTCTCCTCAGTTAAGGTTTTACAGAGGGTGGGTGGGAAAGTTATGGGATTAGGGCTGCTTTTTTTTTCTTTTTTTTTTTGTTTGAAATATTAAGTAAAAACGTCTGTACTGAGAGTTAATGAGAAGTCAGTGGCTTGTAATGTTTTGTTTTTATTTTGTTTCTCTCTGTATATCTCTTACTCCTCATAGAATGTGATTGTTAAATGACATGCACCGAAACAAATGTTTTCATGAACTATGGAGCTTCTTTCAAATATTAATAAAAATAGCATTTTTTTGTTTCTTGGCTGTTAAAGCCGTCCCCTTCTCATGTATTGCTTCCACCAAGAAGGTTTAATGTGTGTTGTCCTGTCTGTAAACACGATAGCTCAAAGACTTTCCACAGAGTGTAGAGCGGGATCGGGTTAACAGTCCATCGAGGTATTTAAGGTCGACTCAATGATTTATTGGTCTAAAATTGACAAAAAGCCTTCTGACTCAGACACTATGATTCTTACAAGTGTGGTGTGTTATCAGCGTAAAAATTTATCGTGTAAACAGCGATGTTTAACTCATTTCTGTCATTGTGAAGAAGTTTAACCACACACTGAATCTCCCAGATGTAAGAAAAAAAGTGCAATTTCAGCAGAACATCAGAGTTTGTGATGAAGAAATGCTGCTGTAGGTAATGGAAATGGAAGAGTAGATGGTGAAAAGGCTTACTTTGTTTATATATTAC